GAAATTTGGTGTGCACAAAGAGGAGGTGTTGTCGAGTTTAGGTTTTGAATTTGGACCTTATAGGCCAACCAGGGGCCCGGCGGGGGGTCATCAAATTAGGACACCTCGGCTATGTTAAATTTTTAAAACGATCCTATTTCTTCATTTGAGTTCCGATTTAAAAAAAATTTCGTATATAGAATCTCCTCATCGAGCACTATAAAAAATGTCGTCGTAGCAGTAAATTATCTCTTATAGTTTAGGAGATATTCGCATTTGAATATTAAAATTTTAAAATTTTTACCGTCCTTACTTTAGTTTTTTTGATAATAGCAGGTCCAAATATTCCCGATTTTCGCCATTTTGTTTTATTCGCTTAACAACAAGTTTATATATCAAGCAGTGAAAGAATTATGTAAAAATCATGACTGAGTCCAAAGTTATAGGCATTTAAATTTAAAAAATTAAAAAAAGGCGATTTTTTGTCATTTTTTTGGGAAAAAAGTATCTTTTTCTTTTTAAGTTATCTAAAAAGTTTCTAAGAAGATGTATATAGAATTTATACTTTTTGGAAAGCTGACTTTACATAAAATACGATAAATGAAACAAAACCTAAAAATTTTTGATACCGAGGGGACCAGGTCCATCCAAAAAAACCCTATTTTTTATGGAAAATTAAATTTTGAGCAAAAATTCTCAAATCGCATAGTCGATATCAAATTATAGTGACCTGTTTTATATGACCCAATAAGTTCTTAATCATTTTGTAACGGGTTTCGATAACCCCGCCCCTGGTATGGATATAATAGGCAAAAAACCAAAAAATCCCATTTTTGGGATTTTTTAAAACTTTTTTGGGAATTCCGGGATTTCTAATAAGAAAATTCGAAATGTTTATTTAATTTTTGAGTAAAAAAATCTACCTAACTGTAAAATTTCATCAAAAAATATTCATAAATAAAATTTTTATTGCAATTTGAAAAATTTGTATCTTCACAAAAACTGAATAAAAAACATTTTTTAATTTTTTTTAAAAAAAGTATTCCGCGAATTTTTTAATTTTCAAAAATTATATACAGTTTTGAAAAATAGACAAAATTACCTTTCCATTGATATATAACATGCCTACCTAATGTTTTTTAAGTGACAAATTAATTAGGGAAAACTCAACATCTTTTAGAAAATTTACCTAGCACTATTTCATCCATATATGTAACAAATTTAAGAGTTAACCTTATGGATGAAAATAATAGTGCTAGGCAAATTTTCTAAAAGATGTTGAGTTTTCCCTAATTAATTTGTCACTAAAAAAACATTAGGTAGGCATGTTATATATCAATGGAAAGGTAATTTTGTCTATTTTTCAAAACTGTATATAATTTTTGAAAATTAAAAAATTCGCGGAATACTTTTTTTAAAAAAAATTAAAAAATGTTTTTTATTCAGTTTTTGCGAAGATACAAATTTTTCAAATTGCAATAAAAATTTTATTTATGAATATTTTTTGATGAAATTTTACAGTTAGGTAGATTTTTTTACTCAAAATCCAAAATTAAATAAAAATTTCGAATTTTCTTATTAGAAATCCCGGAATTCCCAAAAAAGTTTTGAAAAATCCCAAAAATGGGATTTTTTGGTTTTTTGCCTATTATATCCATACCAGGGGCGGGGTTATCGAAACCCGTTACAAAATGATTAAGAACTTATTGGGTCATATAAAACAGGTCACTATAATTTGATATCGACTATGCGATTTGAGAATTTTTGCTCAAAATTTAATTTTCCATAAAAAATAGGGTTTTTTTGGATGGACCTGGTCCCCTCGGTATCAAAAATTTTTAGGTTTTGTTTCATTTATCGTATTTTATGTAAAGTCAGCTTTCCAAAAAGTATAAATTCTATATACATCTTCTTAGAAACTTTTTAGATAACTTAAAAAGAAAAAGATACTTTTTACCCAAAAAAATGACAAAAAATCGCCTTTTTTTAATTTTTTAAATTTAAATGCCTATAACTTTGGACTCAGTCATGATTTTTACATAATTCTTTCACTGCTTGGTATATAAACTTGTTGTTAAGCAAATAAAAAAAAAATGGCGAAAATCGGAAATATTTGGACCTGCTATTATCAAAAAAACTAAAGTAAGGACGGTAAAAATTTTAAAATTTTAATATTCAAATGCGAATATCTCCTAAACTATAAGAGATAATTTACTGCTACGACGACATTTTTTATAGTGCTCGATGAGGAGATTCTATATACGAAATTTTTTTTAAATCGGAACTCAAATGAAGAAATAGGATCGTTTTAAAAATTTAACATAGCCGAGGTGTCCTAATTTGAGGACCCCCCGCCGGGCCCCTGGTTGGCCTATAAGGTCCAAATTCAAAACCTAAACTCGACAACACCTCCTCTTTGTGCATACCAAATTTCATTAAAATCGGATTAACCGTTTAGAAGTTACCGAATTATTTCCCTCTTTTTTTTTTCCTATACCACTGTGCACTGTATAAGGGTTTGTGATTCTGATAATTGGTTTGTATATGCGATTAATAATTTAAATCCAAGACACAATTCAGTCGTTAAAGGTGATACCCCAACGCAATAACTAAGTGATTTGTAAAATTTGCTTTTTTTTTGATAAAGCGTTCACTTTTGAATGTGAAGTGTAGGTGAAGCGTTCAACGCAGGGGATTTACGAAATAACCCCCTAAGTTTAGGTGTCATAATGAAGTGTTTTACCAAATACAAATTTAAAAATTGATAGGTGAAGTGAGGCGTAGGGACTTACGAAATTAGGCCCTACATTTTATATTTTTGGAACATTAAAAAGCAACAATTTTATGAAACAAACTAACATTACTAACGTTAATGTAAATATTTAATGGCTACTTTTAAAACAATAACGATAAAAATACTGATATTAAACAAGAAAACGTAACAAACTTCTTTGTAATAGGTGTTAAAGGAGCTGGGTACGTTTATTAAAATCTTAATTTCTTAAAATTAGACATATTTGCCCAGTTTTTTTCTTGAATATTAAAGAATATAGTTGTAGTAAATTTTTTTTAATTCAAAAAAGTTCAACTTTGACAACAATGTACAAGAAATAAAATTTAAATAATTTTTAGTGCTTCTTATACATAATATTGTCCAGTTTTATACGGTATTTAATTTTGATAAGAAAAACACAATTTTCAAAATCCTATTAATCGCCACTTTTGCCATGGTTTACCCCAACGTGCGACGAGGTTTTTATAGAGCTTGATAAGGGTTTTCTTATATGTAATTTTGTCTTTAATCGGAACATAAAATAATAAAAATTTAACATACCCAAGGGATCCTAATATGCGGACCTCCGACTACTTCCCTTGTGAGCCCATGAGGCCCAAATTCAAAATCTTAATACCACAAAACTTCCTCTTTACGAGGGTACGAGTCAAGATATTTAGAATTTCACTTTTTGAATTCTAAGTTAATTAAGTTTTCGCATATATTTCATCTCTAAATTAATATTTTTGGATTATTGGTGCAAAATTTGGAATACTTGTTCCAACAATATTTAAAACACAGAAATTGTTGTTTTGTTGTCGCTGGGGTTGACAGCCCTTGGCTGAATAATTCGGGTCATTCCGGTACGTAGAACCGGCTGTAGAGGACCAACCCAAGACTGGCCCAGCTGAACCTTGAACTCAGCAGGTTGGTAAATGAGGATAAGCGGAAAAGATGACTAGATCACTTTAAGAACCGCAACTTGAGTTCGGTTGTTAGAAAGTTGTGGTCAACAGTTATATCTATCTCCAACACGACGAAGATGGATGACAGGGTCGGGATTAAGTTTGAAGACATCCCCATTTCCGACCCTAAGGAGTGTTCGCGCGCATTTTGCCGGCAATTCATTGAGCACCCAAAGTGAGAAACTTCACAACCTTCCAGTGACGGACATATCACAGCCCTTCACCCCAGCTGAAGTTGTAGTCGTCATCAACAACTCCAAACCATCTAAGGCGATTGACCCTGACGGAATATCCATGCTGATGTTAAAACACCTTGGCGAGCGGGGAGTTGAGTACCTGAATATGGTTATCAACAAGTCAGTGAGCAGACTCGTAATACCCGTAGCCTGGGTCCAGTCACCTAAAAGGAGCTCGTCACTAGAATGGTTTCCGGATAATGAACAGCACCACCACAGCATTAACCGACATCGCCATTCATATCTCACAAGGCTTAAATCAGCAGAGACCCTGTGAAAGGACGGTCCTAGAGTCTCAGTCACGCCACACTCTTCGAGGATATCTTGCAATCCATAATGCCCAACAATACGAAGAGATGGATCGTAAATTATCTCAGTAGCCGTCAGTCGTTCGTAGAGTTTACAGACGCTCCAAACCCCTTAGAGTTAAACAAGGTGTACTTCAAGGTGGAGTGCTGTCTACCTCTCTAAGCTCCCCGGACCTCCACAAGGCGTGGACGTGATTTCATATGCCTACGACTGTACTATTATGGCGACAGGACACAACATTGATGAATTATGCGTTCTGGTGAATGGTTATCTCCACGAAATACATCAGTTCTTCACTGCGCGTAACCCGCAATAATCACCAGCGAAGTCATCAACAACACTTCTTACCACCTGCACGAAGAAAGTAAAACTAATCGTTAAAGATCCGTTATATTATATATCTATTTAACCCACACATGCAAGCGTATTTTTTTTACAGACCTTCTCAAGAAGAAGTTACATATATTTTAAATTTCAGGTCATTCAGGTCGTAAATGGATTTTTGCGATTTTTTAAACAAATTTAATACCCGAGGTGATCAACTTTGAGGGGCTACCCACTGGTCCCCATTCCTCCCTCAATCACCTACAACTGTCAATCAACTCGAAAACACCTCAGCTTCAAACATGTGAAATTTCATTGCGATATATGCAAGTTTCAGAGATACCGAATTATTTCCAAAAATAAAAGTTTCTAAACCAATGTGCAGTGTGTGTAGAAGATGTAAGCAAGGATTTGTTAAATATGAACATTTTATTAAATAACTTACTTCAAGATTTGCTCAAGTTAAACAAAGTGCAGCTTTGCTATTATTTACACTGATGCGTAATAGGTGTACAATATAAAATACATTTCAAAAATAGTTTAATATATTTTTTAATATATTCAATCTTCATTTAAAATATTAGCAAAAAGCTCTGCCAGATTTTCCGCATTTTGGAGTACTTCTTCCCTACACATATTTCGAGAAACATCTTTAAACTGCTGAAACTTGTTTAGTAATTCTTCAAATTCCTGTAGAGCTTCTTCAACATTAACGTCATTTTCTTCTGATTTATGTATTTCTGTAAAAAAAAATAAAAAATACATTTTAGTAACATCTAAACAAAAATTTTTGTAACATTTGTAAAATAAAAGAATTTGTTTCTAAAAACATCGCATTTATGGAACTATCAAAATTTTAACATTGACAAGTTCGGCTGTGCCGAATCTTAATCACCTTCATCAATTATGTTTTAAAAGCAGTTTTTATTTATTTTTATACCCTCCACCACCATCAGTGGTGATAGAGGGTATATATAACTTTGTCATTCCGTGTGTAACACCAAGAAATATTCATCTGAGACCCAACAAAGTATATATATTCTTGGACCTTATGAAATTCTGAGTCGATTTAGCTATGTCCGTCTGTCCGTCCGTCCGTCCGTCTGTCTGTATAAAACATTCTCACGTTAACACGAAGCAACAGAAATGAACGAACTTCACACAAAATATTTATTATTGTCCTAGGCAGTTTGGTATTGAAAATGAGCAGAATCGGTTTAACGCGGGAAAATTTATGAATCAAAATTTGAAACAACCTCGAAAAAAATAAGCATTTTTTACACATTCTGATATAAGTTTCTCGAAAACTATGCAAGGTAATTCCATGAAAATCACCATACATTCGTTTCTACATAAGAGCTTGATCCCTGCTGAAAATTGTTAGAATCGGTCCACAATTTCATATACCTCCCATACAAAAGTACATATTCCCGGAAAATGGGTTTTTTATTAATAACTTCCGTCAGAATGTAGATATCTTCACAAAATTTCACAAATTAAAATCTTATGTCAATAGAAATCATTCAGGGAAAAAATTTTCTGGATCGGCCCATAATTGGACATAGCTCCCATACAAGGTCCCCTCCCGAAAATCACTTAAACGCGCATAGCTCATTACTTAATTAAGATATCCATATAAAATTTGCTATAAGTATTGCCCATATGCACAGAAATATTACTGTGAAAGTTTCTTGCGATCGGTCCATAATTGGTCATAGCTCCCATACAAGGTCCCCTCCCGAAAATCACTTAAACGCGCATAGCTCATTACTTAATTAAGATATCCATATAAAATTTGCTATAAGTATTGCCTATATGCACAGAAATATTACTGTGAAAGTTTCTTGCGATCGGTCCATAATTGGTCATAGCTCCCATACAAGGTCCCCTCCCGAAAATCACTTAAACGCGCATAACTCATTACTTATTTAAGATATCCATATAAAATTTGGTATAAGTATTGCCCATATGCACAGAAATATTACTATGGAAGTTATTTCCGATCGGTCCATAATTGGTCATAGCTCTCATACAAGGTCCTTTTACGAAAATCTCTTAAACGCACATTACTCATTACCAAATAAAGCTATACTAAATTACGATATAGATACTTAAAGAATTTTTTACGATCGGTCTATAATTGATCTTATCTCCCATACTAGGAACTGCCCCTAAAAGCGCTTTAACCTTATTTAACTATTTGCATTATCAATTTGTGTAGAACAAAATTATATATACATATGTATGTATTTTGAAAATTCTTAAATCTTTCACACACATGCATACATGCAAATTATTAAATATTGCTAAGCGCTATTAAAATATTAAAGAAAATGGCGTTTGTAATGTTCAATAAATCTTGGAATTGTAATAGATCTAAGCTGTTTAAATCTTTGGATTTTTCTATTTAAGACATGAGAAGACTTATTTCTACAAATATTTGATGAATTAGAAAAGTATTAATATAAAAGTAGCTGGTGGAGGGTATTTAAGATTCGGCTCAGCCGAATATAGCATTCTAACTTGTTTGAATTTATTTTAATTTTATAAAATTTCAATTAATTTAATTTTTGTATTTTATTATATTTTTATATCTGCATCAAGTAAAAACAACAATAACAAATAAATACATAATTTGTAGTACAAGCCGCATTTTGCATCGACTTGTATGTAGAGACCTGCCCCGAGCGGCTTAGCCGGCTGTGAGCCGCTATTTAAAATCAGCAAAACCGGTCCATATATACCGGAGATATGAGCAAAAATCTGAGACAACCTCTGAAAATTGCATATGTATATGTGTTTACACCCATATTCATTAAAAACATTTTATTTTATAAAAGGTTCTCTGCTTCTATGTTTGCACGAGGGCTATTAGGCTTTTTTATGACAAATCGTCAAAATTATAAAATAAAAACGTCAAAATCGTCACAAAAATGTTAAAAAATCGTCAATAAATCGTCACAACTAATTACGTTAAAATAATGCAATGAGTATACATTTATTCAGAGTTTGGGATTAATGCAACTGATGAAGTGTAGTACAAATTCTGATCGAGCGTTGTCATTTTCTGTGAAGACTTTGATCAAATATGAATTCAAATCTAAAAAAATTGATTAGGGCGTTTAATTTATTAAATCAAATCAATCAAATTTATTAAATCAACCAACATCAATGGTTCTCATCTGAAGATATCTAAAATTTCATCGGGATACTAATATTTGTATTAAAAAAGTTCAAGCAACTTTCTGATGGCGATATTATATGGTGGCTAGGATCAAAGTATGAAATTCATAGAGGAATTTCAAAATATCCAGAACTTGTTTATGACGAATTGTATCTGAATCCACATAGATTTTAAAAAGTACATTAACAAAATATACAAATATTTTTTACCTAGCGTTAAAGATTTTTATATGGAGTTGGATGAACGATATTGGCTATACTTCAGAGTATGATTCTTGGTAACTTTAAATAATTAAATTTTTATGAGTTTCCAAACGATTTTCTAGGTATTTGGTAGGATGATACATATGTATGCATATAGACCGATGTTAACTATTTAGACTAAAGATGTTATTATAATAATTTTTTTTAATAAATCAACTTTATCACTTCATCGTTTATTTTTTTTCAAATTTACTTTAATTATATATTATATATATTTTGTTTAGAACATAAATTAGAACTAAAATTTAATAATGTGATTAATAAAATAACTACAAATATTACCTTTTTCATTAAATATTGAACAAATCGTCAAAATAGGGAATTTTTGTATCAAAAATAGTCAATCGTAATTTGGCTAAATTTACAAACAAAAAAAAAAAAATTCTCAAAATGACGTAAAATCGTTACATCTAATACCCCTTCCTACAAGCATTTTCTATTGCGGAAGTTACCCGAGTGAAACTTCCAAACGTGCTAAAAGCTCGCCAGCGATACTTCTTAGTATCATCTAGAAGTGTTGTTATCGTATCTTCCAGAAATGTTCCTATCTTATCTTCTAGAAGATGAGCTTTCTCTACTTCTAGAAGATGAGCTTTCTCTTCTTCTAGAAAATGAGTATTCTCTTCTTCTAGATGATGAGTATTCTCATCTATATCAGGTAACTTTGCTATCAGGTATATTTATAGAGGTGGCCTGTATATGGTCCTTTTTGTATTCTGGCATTAGCAAATGTCTAATATTTTTTACTCACTAAAATAATGGATGGAAATGATGGAACAGGAACAGGCTCTGCCACTTGGATGTTTTGTATTGTAAGTGTAGTATCCGTTAATTCTGAAACAATTCTTTAGGGTAAAGTGTGTTTCAGAGACGAGTAGTACGTCAATTTCCTGAAGTAGCAGGAATTGTTCTACTTCATTCTTGTGTTGGCTAAGGACGTTAGCATTCCAAAAACAAATTCTTAGGGAGTTCATTTTTTATTTAGCAGGATCTGCATGAGCATGCTTTGATTCTGCATCAATTGTTGAAACATATTTTTCATATTTGCCATGAAACTGTTCATGATTTGAATTAGATTCTCAATAGATCTTTGAGAATTTGTTTCGGGTGCGGGTGCACCCTCTTTTAATGCATGTGCATATGAAAATAATGTCGTATTATTTTCATTATTTGTTTGCAAATTTTCATTATTCTTATTTGTGAGACTTCTATATTGGCCACTAGAAGTTTGTTTTGCGTTCATTTGGGTAACGGAACCTTCTTTGTCGTATATACGATTTATTCTGATTGCTTTTATTTGTGATACTTCTATATTGAGCATTAGAAGTATTAGGGAGAATCCATGTGAAAGCGGACAGCAGTCGGATTTACCATCTCCGATTTTAATGAAACCTACCACACACATATGGCATTTTCAAAAAACCGGGTTTCGGTTTATTATTATTCTTAAAACCGGTTAACCGGTTTTATTCAAAAGAAATAAAAGCAATAAAATATGCGTTTTTTATATAACATGAATTCCAGGAACACAGAAAAACTTAAATTTTTGAGGTCACGTCGCTTAATTACCTTCATAGAAAAATTGTTCTACCCGTTTTCATTTTTTTAAAGTGCACAAGTCGATTGAGCCTTCGAACCTTTTTATGCATAATATTTAAAATATATTTTTGTCACGGGCATTACATCTATTTTTTCGAATTTTTTAAACGTTCTATATTAAACAATTTTTTAAATTTATTAATATTTTATGCATTTAACAGAATTTATAACAAACTGATAAGAATTGAGATGCAAATATTTAAATGCACCTAAAATTCATTTAGTCTAAGAAATATGAAGGTGTACATTGTTGGCTATCGAATTCCAGTTATAATTAATAATGTACTTTAGGCTTATTTAAATTATTTAAAATGCAAAAAATATTAATAAATTTTAAAAATAATAGATCTTTAAAAATATAGAAAAAATAGTTAAAATCCCTGTCACATAAAATATTTTTTTACCCACCATAACTCCGTTTGTAATACATCGAAATATCTAGCCATGTTAGTCCGTCTGTCTGTCTGTTGAAAACACGGTAGAGTCCAAATGGAACGAGCTAGAGAGCTGAAATTTTGGAGAAATATTTTTAGTTGATGCAGTTTGTTGTAAACTGTAAAGATTATAACGGAGTTAAAAAAGCATATATAGCGATGAAATTTGACATAAACAGGTTTTAGAGCAACCAAAATCTGTCTGCCAAATTTTGTGAGGTCTACAATTGACACTACAACCCATATAAGGCCCCCTGCAG